TGCCTCTCTGTTGGACTCCGGTACTGCACCTTACTCACGAGACGTTGTAAAAAAAAAATGGGTGGGGGGCGAACGCAGTAACCACTCCGCCAACGCACTGTCACCCCCGTCGTGCGGGCCGGATGAGAATGTCTGGCGGACCGGATGTGGCCCGCGGGCCGCCAGTTGGTGGTCACTGCTATACAGAGATGCTGTAGAGAAACCAATGTGAGTTTGGAAAATTGCACAATTTAAATCTATTCTAGTAGACCTCAACAATGGAAATATGATCAGTAGAAATGGCCATGACATGGGACCTTTAAAAAGAACAATCGGTTTAGAGGAATTATGATATTGAATACGCCAGTTTAAAAAGGTGGGTTTTCAGGCAGGATTTGAAGGTTGATAGTGAGTCCATATTGCGGAGTAGTTGCATCCACAGTGTATTCTGTAGTTACTGTGTACACAAACTATGTTTAATCAACTTGATTTTCTCCACACATGTTTCCCTCTCTTGCAGCTCTGTGCCATGAAGTCCTCCTCCCTCCTCCTCCTCTCCTTCCTCCTGGGTGTTTGTGGTGTTCAGGGGGCTTCAAGTTTTAAAATCTGTGCCTTTAACCTCCATCACTTTGGGGAATCCAAGGTCAAGAAGAGCAATGTTGTGCATACTCTGGCCAGGGTGAGAAATACTCTGATGTCTTTAACTTGAATTTGCCTTTTGAGATAACATGCCTGACGTTTTAACCACCTTCTCTTGATCAGTAAGCACTGATTCCAGCTGAGGTCAATTTTTAGTGAATTCTTTTTTCTCAATACAGATATCAAAAGGTACAAGTGATTTATACAATATTCTAATTCCAGGTTACATTTCTATTTCCACATTCCAAGTCCAATTTTTTTAAATTTTGCAATTCGAAATTCATATTCAAAATTCAAGTTCCAATTCGAATTTCCTATCCCAAGGGTGCGGTGGAATTGTCCTATATCGTCTTTCCCTTGCTTGACCTCTGTGTGAAACGTCACAGGGTTAAGGAATAGTGGATAGGAGAATTCAAAAAGACGACCGGGCTTCAAGAAAATCAGACTGCACTTACACTATCCAACGTTTATGACTATATACAGTCTATGGTTTATGATGAGCCAGCGGATGTTATTAATGTGCGTCTGCAGTGGGGGAACTACAGTTCTCTGTACAGAGGACTACTCTAAGCGCACATAGATACTTTGCACCATGCACTATCTTGGTGTTGTTCTATGCAGGCTTTATGAATGTGGACAACAGTGAAATATATATTTTTCATTAGGCCTGAACTGAAATAAAAAGTTGTACAGCTCTCTTAATCCAGGTGTTATAATAACTACCATGGTATTCACAGGCCATGGTAGTTATTCTACACATAGCTAATAAACAAAATGCAATGAAATTCACTTCAGTGTGTTACAAAGCTAATCACCTCTTGCTGTGCTGTGTTGCAGATCATCACCCGCTGCGACGTGTGTTTGCTGCAGGAAGTGAGAGACATGAAAGGGAAAGCGGTACCACAGCTGCTCGACCGCCTCAACAGGTGATGATCTCTTTCACACACACATTCAGCACACACACCTGCAGTCACACAATGCTGTGCTGTGAATGAGAGAATGACAAACAGCAGCACCAACAGTGTGTCTTATGTCCAGGTACGACCCTGACCATGAGTATGCCTCTGTGGCCAGCGAGCGGCTGGGCAGGTCCTCCTCGTACCAGGAGCAGTACGTGTTCGTCTACAGGTGAGCGGACATGGACACGCGTGCTTCTTTCTTCACAAAAACATAAAGACAATTAACCAATTAGTTTTTTACAAAAATTACTTAAAGGGGACCTATCATGCAAAATGCTCTTTTTTATGTCTTTCATGCATAAATATGTATCCCCGGCAGTGATGTGGTCGTTATTAAAAAAATAACTGGGCAGGGAAAACGGGGTTCAGGGGGAGTGGCTGTACGGCTGTACCCGGAGGATAGAAAAGGGGGAAGTGACGTCTGACTCAGAGGTTGCGCGGCTGTGGAGAAGAACGTGTTGCCCACATGCTAGTTAGCTAGCAGGTTTATTATTTTGGGTGCAGTCATTTTTGCCTCCACTTGCTGTTCAAATAAATGTTGAAAGAAAAAGTAAATCTGTTTACAGTTCTGTTTTATATGGGTGTTGAAGAAGAAGAAGAAGAAGGAGGATTGGGAGGGATGAAACCCTCTCTTTAATGGTCACAAATGCAGAGCACACAGCACACAAAGTTAAATGTGTTCTCTGCTTTTAACCCATTCTAGTACCAGGAGTCTAGTACTAGGAGCAGTGGGCAGCTATTGTACAGCGCCCGGGGAGCAATGGGAGTGAGGGGGGAAGGGGGTTGTCCGGTGCCTTGCTCAAGGGCACCACGGCAGGGCAGGAGGTGAACTGGGACCTCTCCAAGTAGAAGTCCACACTCCAAATGTAGGTCTGGTCGGGGACTTGAACCGGCGACCCTACGGCTCACAGTCCAAGCCCCTACTGACTGCCATAGATTTAGTCCCTTATTTTGCTCTCAAAGTGCACCAGATTGATGCATTTAACTTCAACATCTTCCCGTGGGAGCTTGCCCCCGGACCCCCCTAGAGGAGGTGAGGTCCACCACCTACCCACATCCCCTGTTAAATTGTCTCACCCACATTGAGGATGCTTCCTACTCCCATGTTTTATTCCATGTGTCAAGTCAGGCAAAATTGGGTCAAAATGTTATTGCATCAATGATCTCTTAACATTAAAATCACTAAATATATGCTGTAACTATTTTGCTCTAGGCAACTCAAGGGCTCAGGTAATGTGATTACTATATGAATAATGGTCCAAAATAACATAAAATGCATAGGGTTTTTT